TAGAATACAATTTTAAGTCAGTGGTACCTTCGGTGTATTAATACTTAATCTATTGGTCACACTCAGTCGGCAGTCTACTTACTCTTACCTTGAGATGATCAATTAAAGCAGTTCTGTGACAAAATTTTGAATTACATTGCTCAAGTACGCACAAGTGCCGGGCCTTTATCATTTTACTGTTCCTGGCAGTATACCGGTTTTTTGTATCATGTGTCACTAAATTGTCTTTCCTTGCAAATTCCATTCCACATTTATCACAGGGAATATTTTTTACTTTTGAAGTGTTTTCAGATCAATTCAATTTGTGTTGTTTCAAGCTTCTCCTATTTTTTCAGCCCTTATTGCAGAAGGGGCAGGTGATTGCCTTGTCACTGCTGACATGTAGATATTACAAGGATATTACAAAGATATTACAAGGATATTCAAGGAACATACAGCAACAGCCACCATGAACCTGTGTGATAAGAGGTAGTCACTGCATGTTTCTTCAAGACTGAACATGAGAGACACACACAAATCACTCAGGCTGGAACCGTTACCTGACACCGAGACTTCAATATCTTTAAAACAACTAATCAGTACAATTCAAAAGTTATGCATCTTCAAAAAGAAGACAGCAAACAACATTAATTTTTTTTAAGTTCAGTAAATAAAACTAAGATTACCGAAGTCCTTCAGCAAGGATAATCAGTAAACAGGTAGATTATGAAATGGACAACACACATTATAGGAAAAAGAAAAACCATTGAGAACAAGACATATCACAGGACAGTAAGGACCACACATTAAGAACCCTGCAGCACCAGACACCTCTTGTTCTCAATGTTTCTTTGCTATGCGTGCAGCAATGGCAAGCAACACTTAGAACATGGTGTTGGGTGCTAAGGTTCGCTTTGGTAAAAACCACCCTTGGTACAGGTGAATGTGGCTCATCTTAATCAGTTATGGCAGTGACACAGGGAACATAAATTGCCCAAGGGAATAATACATGGCAAAAGCAGAAAAACATTGAGAACGACGGATATCACGGGACAGTAAGGACTACACACCACAGAACCTTCAAGCACCTGACACTGTTTCTCTGCTTTGAAGGTGGCAAAGGCAAGCAACACTTAGAGCACGGGGTGTTGGATGCTGAAGTTCCCTTTTATAAAAGAACACCCAAAGGTGCAAATGGCTTCATCTTAAAAGTAAAATAGTCAAACTATAATACATAAAAAACGTT